TCAAAACATTCGTCTTACATCTATCACTGACGTCATCTATCGGGCATAAATTAATGAGGAGAAAATGACTCACTACATTTGGTAGATTTTTAACTCAGCACCGTTAAGCTACTCTTTTCGATTCCCAACTGCCAAAGAATTTTTTACGTGAACAACAATGCACACGGGCGCCCGATCTCACTACCCAGAGACCAGGGGGAATTATTATAAATCGGTCCATGTGAAAAAATCCTAGTCCTTGCCGGAAATTAAACCCTGAACCTCTAGCACTCGAGGCCTTCGCAGTGTCTCGTCACCACGCAGCCCCCTGGTTGATGTTAGGAGTGGATGTCTAACAGCCCTCCCCCACCCCTCCCATCTGTTTTTCTGTCCTTTCACGCGTAAGGTAGCCTCTGATTACACTGTCCAATTGTGGGCCAGCTTTTCACAGCTGTCACAAGACTTGTCACCAAGGGCTCTCTGTTGCCGTGTTGCAAATTCGTACACTGTCCACTGCTCCATCTCAGCTCTTGCCCTTGAGAGCCACATTAGAGAAAACCTTCCTTCGCCACCTTGCTTGCAAGCGAATCTTCAGAACAAGGTCCACCGCTTGGGGTTAGGCTAAAATGTCGTATTGAGTACAACAGCCGAGTCCTACGGAAGGACTGGTCAAATTATACACTGCTGCTTCAGTTGATCGCAGACTCTATGGGCTTCAAAGGTCTTGATAGTTCTTCTGTCGTTAGGGATCTGAGCCGAGACGACTGCCCACCCCCGCCAGTCTTTTTTATGATCCTATTATTCCGAAGAAATATTGAAGCTTCACATAATTTTCATAAAGCAAGTGGAGCTGCTTGGTGTCTTGTAGCTCCTGTTTTATCTTAGAGACGACCAAATCAGACTACTTAAACACGACATGCATTGTTTCCCTAAACCTCATAAATATAGAACAAGATCACGCGACACGAGACGTCATGTTTTTTTTTTAAAAATCGGTTTATTATATATATATATATATATATATATATATATATATATATATATATATATATATATACATACATCTTAAAAGAACTGAACATCAAAGATGATTGGCTAATAAACAGCATCCTTTCTCGGATGCTGAAATATTTTGGTCATATCAAGCGCCACAACGGATTGGAAAAAACTATAGCAGAAGGCATGGTACCAGGAAGAAGGGGCAGGGGCCGACCGACACGAAGATGGGCACAGGATATAAGTGACTCCTTGAGTATGAAAGTATATGAGGCAGGAGAACTGGCGAGAGACCGAGTTTCTTTCAGGCAGACTGTGATCAGGGCGGCGTTCTGCAAAGGACCTGCTACATGATGATGATATATATATATATATATATACATAATATATATATATATATATATATATAGAGAGAGAGAGAGAGAGAGAGGCGATAGAACAAGAGAGAGGAGGGGTGGGGAATTAAGGAATCAGATAAATAATATAATGCTTTTAGAAGAGTTTTCAAAACTCAGCAACTAGAACAATGGATAAGCAACTAGACGATTAACTGTGTCTTTGGAAAAGTAGATAAACATAAAAAGGTCTTATTATATGGAAACAAATACAATCCAACGCAGAGGTTCTGGAAAGACTATGAATAAAAAGAGAATGAATAAAGAAATTCATAAACAAAATACAGTTGAAATTATGGCAACATTAAATAAGATAAAACGCTTTTAAAAACCATACTAAATGGAGGAAAGGTAGAGGGCAGGACAGCAAGATGAAGACAATATTACAAGTATGAGGACAACATCAAGAGATGAACTAGCAGGTGTCTGATAGATAGTATAACCCAAACAAAAGAAAAAGGGTGTTTAAAATCCATTGCAGCCAACTTTCAATGTGGAGACGACTTATGATGCGACTACCGTTGGTGGCAAGCTGTCTGTAACAGCACCAAATGTACATCATACCTGCAATATGCATGTATTTGTAAGTGCTGACTCTTACAGTTAAATCGAAACAATAGGAACATACAGCGGTCGGGACCTACTGCTTAAACACGCGGGACCTTCAAACCCAGGTACACATCCCAAAGGACATCCACCAGTGGCCACAAAACAATCCTCGTCGTAGGGACACTGACAGACTAGCTCACAGTCATGTCCGTAATGCCGACCATCGCAAATGGTTTCTATAACAACGAAGGTAAAGGTAATTATTGCGTTTGGTCAATTACAGTTCCACTTAGTGCACTATTACGAATTTATGCCAACAGTATTCAACTTAGGTCAGTATATATGACAATCCCGTAATTGCAATAGCTGTCAATGTTGTTTTATCCTTCCTTCATTCTTTCCTTCCCTCTTTTCTTCCTTCCTCTCTCACTCCCTTCCTTCTTTCCTCCCTTTCCTCGCTCCTTTTTTCTTTCATTCTTTCGTACTTTTCTTTTCTTTCTTTCTTTCGTACTTTTCTTTTCTTTCTTTCTTTCGTACTTTACTTTTCGTTCTTTCTTTCGTACTTTTCTTTTCTTTCTTTCTTTCTTTCGTACTTTTCTTTCTTTCTTTCTTTCGTACTTTTCTTTTCTTTCTTTCTTTCATACTTTTCTTTTCTTTCTTTCTTTTGTACTTTTCTTTTCTTTATTTCTTTCGTACTTTTCTTTTCTTTATTTCTGTCGTACTTTTCTTTTCTCTCTTTCTTTTGTACTTTTATTTTCTTTCTTTCTTTTGTACTTTTCTTTTCTTTCCTTCTTTTGTACTTTTCTTTCTTTCTTTTGTTCTTTTCTTTTCTTTCTTGCTTTCGTGCTTTTCTTTTCCTTCTTGCTTTCATACTTTTCTTTTCTTTCTTTTGTACTTATTTTTCTTTCTTTCCTTCGTACTTTTCTTTTCTTTCTTTCTTTCGTACTTTTCTTTTCTTTCTTTTCTTCGTACATTTCTTTTCTTTCTTTCTTTCGTACTTCTCTTTCTTTCTTTCGTACTTTTCTTTTCTTTCTTTCTTTCATACTTTTCTTTTCTTTTTTTCTTTCGTACTTTTCTTTTCTTTCTTTCTTTCGCACTTATCGTTTCCTTCTTTCTTTTGTACTTTTCTTTTCTTTTCTTTTCTTTTGTACTTTTCTTTTCTTCTTTTCTTTCACACTTTTCTTTTCTTCTTTCTTCTCTTCTTTTCTTTCGTACTTATCCTTTCTTCTTTTCTTTCGTCCTTTTTTTTTCTTCTTTTCTTTTTTTCTTTTTTTTTCTCTGTTTTTTCCTCTCTGTCTGTGTGTCTTTGTCTGTCTCTGTCTGTCTCTGTCTGTCTGTCTTCCTTCCTGCCTGCCTGCCTGGCCTGCCTGCCTGCCTGTCTGTCCGTCTGTCTGTTCTTATGTCTGTATTTTCTTTTTCTTTTTATATTTTTCATTTTTTTTTCTTGTTGTCTCTTTGTTTTTCTTTTTTTCTTCGTATTTCTTTCGATCTTTTTGTCTGTATTTCTATGTTTCGTTTTCTTTCTTCCCATATTTTTCGGAACACTCATTTAGGTCACCTATGTTTAGAGAAGAACAACAACATCAGAAAACAGTACAGACTTCCCTGAAACACTTGGAGACACATTACCTCCGTAAATCTCAACCTCACACAGTGCCAGAATGCCGTTTCTGTTGGTGGCCATCACAACGACCGCCTTGATAGGTAAAGGCATATGGTTGATTGTGTACACTTGCTTTGTTACCGTGTCCGTGTTATTGAATACAAACTGTGAGTTGTTCTGGGAGTCGAAGCTATATAATCTGAACCCCGTTAGGAGATTTGCTTGTACTTTTATTTAGAAAAAAAAAAAAATTAAAGTGTCGGTCAATTATAAATACATTAACACGAAACAGGTTTAACATTTCTGTTAAAGAACCTAAGGAATTGTAAACATGACATCTTCTTCCCGGTCACTTCATCAATCTTTTCTCCAGGCCATACCGGTGTAATGGGCAATGATCAGGCAGACATAATTGATACACGACAAGGCAGATGGGAAAGGCCTTTGTGAACAAGCAACGGAATTAGCAGAGCTAAAAGATTAATATGGTCTGGAGAGAATGGGGCATTTGGGTGTGATCCGAGGGTCTGGCCAGCTCACTACACTCAGAGGAAAGGCAAGACGGTCATATCAGTACTGGAACTCTGCGCTGGCTGCTGAAGGTGAGGATCAAGCATGCACGGGAATGCTCCGAGTGCTGTGATGTCAACTGTTGACTCAATTCAACTCAACTCACTTCATCTAGATATTCCATGGAAGTGTTAGGAGTAGATATAAGGATGTTACAGGTTTAATGTGAAAGGATTAACATCACTGCGAGAAGTTTTGTAAGACTGCGGCTATTTGCCTAGAACAGTTAGCAGCCGTCTAAATGCGACACACAAAGCACGAATTCCGTCACAGCGTCAACAATTCCCAGGAAACCGTAAAAAGTATCTTTTCTGAACCGGACGATGCAATGGCTAAAACAGAGGTGGGCCTTCCAAAGCGTTGTAAACACTGGTCTGTATTGCCCCAAGGATGCTTTTATTCCATCGTTCCATGCTCTGTGTAGTCTTCCTCTTGGTTTATGTCTGTTACATGTCTCCAGCGAGGAGCTCTGTGGAACTGGTAGATGGGCATTCAAGTGCTAATTTTCTTATGATCTGGTCATTTCTTCTTTTTCTTCTGACAGCTCGTCTGAAGCATCTCATCATTTTTGTTGTTACTTTAACGTTACATAACACAAATAAATGGAAATATGTAGATTATGTAACCAACACATACAAACATGCACACACACACACACCCATACATATGTATGTGTGTTTGTATCTATATATATGTGTGTGTTAGTGCGTGCATTGTACACATACCTAGACAATGGAAACGCCGTTAGAGTTCTCTGAAATGTATGAGATGTGGGAATAAAAGACAAGAATAGTTTGTTGTCTATAGATATGAAGTCAATCAAATGGAAACATGGAGAACAACCAAGGCAATTACTAATAAATTACAGACATTCATTAACTGGTGCCTGCGCAGAATAGAGGGAATACAATGGTATGATAGAATAACCAATGTAGAACTTTGGGAGAGAACTAAACAGGCGTCAGTGGACCAAGAGGTGACGAAAAGACGCTAGCGTTGGATAGGGCACACACTGAGAAAACAGGAGGACAGCATAACTTGAATGTCTTTGCATTGGAACCCACAGGGTCATAGGCATAAAGGAAGGCCAAAAAATACATGGAGAAGTGAGTTGGAGAATGAGGTAGAAAGATTGGGAGGACATGTGGAAAGCTCCATGCAATGGCGAAGGATAGAACGACTTGGCGTGAGTTGGTTGAGGGCCTATGCTCCATTGGGGATAGAAAGGCAGAAGAAGAAGAAATAAAATGGGTATTATATATATCTACATATATATTTATATAGTTAAAAATAAACAACAACAAAAAAAAAAGAATCAGGTGAAACGTAAACACACACACACACACACAAAATTTTAAGCGAATGATATCCTAATAGGGTTCGCAAGAAGAAATCAACTGACAATTTAAAAATGAAAAATAAAAAAAAAAAATATAGTTTAAAAAAAAACAACATATGTATGAACAGTTTTCTACTACATAAAAACAACTGCAAATTTTATTTCAAATGCCAAATGAAGAGGCATTTTGAAGACAGGCCGAAAAGATGTAATCGGGGATGCAAATGTGAAAATCACAGCAAGAAATGGACGAACAATAGTCCAACTACCCTTTTTGAACATGCATACGTGGTCTCCAAAACGAGCTTGTGAGCCGACATGTTATAGAAATATTCATAGAATATATCGATACAGATTTAGTGACAAATTAAAAGACATAGTCATCGAATGAAACTGGTCTGCAAACAGCATCTCAGAAAATGAAGAACTTTAGCCGTCTAAAAAACTCCCAGTGAGCTACAGAAAGCATGGTGTTGGGTAAGAAGGTCAAGGGCCGATCAGCACGAAAATTGGCTGAGATCAAGTAAACATTGACTACCACTGGCTATTGTCATGCCGTGAAGGCTTAGGGTGTCTTTAATGTTGTCAATCGATTTATTCGCGACCGTTTTCTGGATCTTGTCGCTGATCTTCTGAGATATAGTGCCTGAGACGGAATTCAATCTTGCTGCATTCTATCGAGATGTCCAAACCAATTGATCTGCTGTTTCTTGATGCAACTATTACAATGTGTCCTTCCAACAATCACTTTGACACCATCATCATTCACTCCATCTCGTGTAAATAGATTGGAGCTTGTCTCAGGCATCTCATCTCGCAGTTTGTGATTTTACGTACGTGGCATTTATATAATGTCAATGTTTGGCACTGGTAACATAATGTTGGAATAAATATGCTGTTCATAATCTGCCTCTTTGTACTTATAGTTATTTTTTGGATGTCTTAATGATGGTGACAACTGGTATGTAAGTGAACTTGCTTTCTGCTATACAGTTTCTTTTTCTTTGTCAGTTCTACCATCTTCAGTCATCATGCTTCCTACATATTTAATTCTCTAACTTAATTCAGACCAGAACCATTTAACTGTATGTGTAGTGGACTAGATGTTTTACTAACATGAATTTGTTTTGGTTTTGTTTTCATGTATCTTCTTGTTGTTTTTACTGCTTGCTGAGTTTAACCTGTTAACCTGGTCCTACCGTCTATTTTTTTTTTTTTTTTGCTGTAAAACATGCACTGGCCGCCAGCAATGTCTAGTTCGTTTAATGTGGGTGAGTCGATTTTTTGTGTGATGTGTGTACTTCCTCATGATAATATCGATGTATGTTGTCTGTATTAGTAGTTACTACATGAGATGTTCTGTCTATATGCATGTGGAATGAGAGTGGGGGAGAGGAGATATCACTCTCTCACGCCTGTGTTAGCCGTGAACATATCTGATGTCTTCTTGTGTTCTTACTGCACTTTGGCTTGTATGTGCATGGCTATGATGTTCTCTACTAATTGGCCGTGTACCTCATAGTTCCCAAGACCAGACAATAGTGTGTTTCTATCACCTTTATTGAAAGACTTTTCATGATCAACACTATTCTGAATTACGCTTTCACCTCAAATTCCTTCATAATTCTTGAGCAATATTGTGGGGACAGGTAACTTCCCTACTGGCTTGTTGTGCCTGTCACAGATCATCCTTATTTGAACACACTGATGTTTAAAAACACACAATAACACACATTGACCTCTAACAGAATCTTAACCAACTTCTGTTTACTCCACTACTTTTCTATTAGCTCTTTTAAATTTGGCTACAAAGACCTGTAAATATTGCAAACCCCAGGCTGGACAAAGCAACTGTTATGAATACGTTATGCTGGAATACTGACAGAACACACGGGTTTTCGAGAAATAAGATGTGCACAATTGTGGAATTTGAATTAAATGTATATCCGAAAAAAAAAAAAAAAAACATGGAAGAGAAAGAATAAAACGCATGTATAACAAGTGTCGGCATGATGCTGACCACATCACCCATCTTGTGCCGATCGGTTTACCACATATAAGTTTAGCCCTATATGCCCTATACGCTTAAAGACGTAAAAAAATGGTCCTTTACTTTACGTTTTTATAACAAGTGTGCTAGGGGTAACAGTTAAAATCTACAACTTATGAAGTTTTCTACGTTTTCAGCACTGGATTAGGGCAGAGAGCTACGTGAAACTTGTCTCATGAGGAAAAAAAAAACATAATAATGAACAATACTCTAGTTTACTGGTAGATTTTGTGGCTATTTGTTACAGTGTCGGACTGCTATTGTGGCGCAATCGATGTCATGATCTTTCTGAGGCACAATCAATAAATACACAGAGCAATAGGAACACCATACAAAATATGGAACGATGGCTTCAAGAATAGCTGTCAGGAAATGCAGACCGGTTTATACAAGGCATTGAAACACATACGGTCTTTCCAGATACTTTGATGTTGTAAAAAAAAGGAAGAAAATAAGAAGAAGTGTTCTCTTTTCCTGTAATTGGCATCTACTTTTGTATTCTTCTTCTTCTTCTTCTTCTTCTTCTTCTTCTTCTTCTTCTTCTTCTTCTTCTTCTTCTTCTTCTTCTTCTTCTTCTTCTTCTTCTTCTTCTTCTTCTTCTTCTTCTTCTTCTTCTTCTTCTTCTTCTTCTTCGTCTTCTTCTTCTTTTTCTTCTTCTTCTTCTTCTTTTTTCTCTTCTTCTTCTTCATCTTTTTTCCTTTTCTTCCTCTTCTTCCTCTTCTTTCTTTTCTTCCACTTCTATCTCTTCTTCCACTTCTTCCTCTTCTTCCCCTTCATTCTCTTCTTCTTCTTTTCTTCCTCTTCTTCTTCTTCTTCTTCTTCTTCTTCTTCTTCTTCTTCTTCTTCTTCTTCTTCTTCTTCTTCTTCTTCTTCTTCTTCTTCTGCTTCATATTATTTAATGCTGCATAGCGCAAAAGAGGGGCTTATATGTAGATTTCTGTAGGTATACAGAAGCAACATAATATGACAGCCTAAATAGTGTCAGCTTTAGATTAAAAAAAATGCAAATGCATTAGTATATATTTACCATCCCTTCTATTGTGTATGGCGTATCTATTGACTGCAAACTCCCTTGACAATTTCACAATCCATGTGGGAAGAGGGAATCCCGGTGCCCGGTGGCTAGCAGTTCGTGAGCAACTCAAGCTGTTGTAGAAGTTTCCGTCAGTGTTGCTATCAACTGCTTTGTCCGAGGAGAAACGTAGGCTGATGCCTCTGACTAACTGAACATCAGTAGTATCTTGGTATGTCCAAGCCTTCAAAGCCACATTACGACCTGTCGGGAATTTTACTGCATTACTAAAACAGGTTTGAGGTTTGAGGTTTTGAACAACCTATCAACATCATAGCACACATGTAGTAACCCATAAGTGCCCCGTTCTTCGTCTATCCCACGTCTGAGTTCGAAGAAGCTCAGCACAGTGCACAGGCTCTGTAGCACCAGCAAGGAAACTGAAAAACATTTTAACTCCAAATTTTGCCAGGGGCTGTTGGCGTTGGTTCTGCAACGTCCTGTAAAGAATACGCAACTAACCTAACTGCAAAGCTGAAGTGCATACACCTCGAAGATGTAAAACTAACAGTCTGCAAATAAATTTGTGTGTGTTTTGTCCATCAAGATGATGATGACCACTCTTTTTCATCAATAAGTCCGATCTAAAAGACGAATGTGAACTCAAAACTCAAGTTCTGGACGAAGAACAAAGTCTAGAAGTGGATGATTCACCAGAAGGCCCCAAAAGAATTTACAGCTTTTGAATGCTAAGAAGACGTAAACCAGTACGAATATTATCCATGGTTAACACGTGGTTCAGTTGCCATTTTGATGGACTGTCGGTCAACACACGTTTGATTCCATTTTTGTCATTAGGTAATAAACTCGGCCAGCAGACTTCGCTAAGTGTCCTAAAGAGTTTTCCACAGATAGTGTAACCCATACAGCTCGGGGTGGCCTAATGAGTGGTTATCGGAAACTGCATTTCTGGGGGCAACCAGCTATGGGATTCCAGATTCTGTTTAGGCTTATGTAGACCAATATCAGTGATGCACGACTTTAACGTGTGGCAAGAGTTTTGTGTAAGGTTCCATAAAACCAGGACAGACCAAGTTGACCACTGAGGGTATCAGCTTATATATTGCATAAAGGCCATATCTTTTACTCATGTTTGTGACCTATATCACTGCACCATTCATGAGAGAAAACTGTTGAAGTCTAGACTTCGGTTGCGGTCGTTGCCTTAAATTATGTGAAAACTTTACATGCTGATTTAGGTCAGCTGTTGATATCTATACTAAAAATATTAAACGTCATGTATTTGAATATATGTCTGTCTTTTTATCATAAGAACTCTACTTAAAACGGTGAGCAGTAGCGAAGTGACAGTTGCAAAGGACCTTCTAGCGACAATGTCATCTTTTAATTTTTAATAGTATCATTGTGTTGCGAAGCGATATGTAGTGTGTGTGTTGCTTCCTAAGCAAGTATCTAAAGGTGACTGATTGTGCCTCCAATCTGTAGTAAAGTGTGTTTGGTGAAGTGTGGTGGAAGTACTAGCTTAACACACTTTTCATTGTCCTATCATACCACTAACACTGTAAGAACAGTCTCAGCCAACCACATCAACATAACGGAAAGAGTCATTTCTTTACTTGATCTCCAGCCTGATTTTTTGGACACAACACAACATGACGATGAGCATGAAATAGTGATACAGGACGACTCTCCATCTAAGCTCCATCTATACACTATAATATTTAACCAAGGCAGTGTCACATGAAAGGGAACACCTAGCCTTGACTCGGCGTGACAGTAACATACTCCTTACTGTCTTGTTTCACTGGTGATCCTACGCCTCCTCTTGACGTTACCCAAGACAGATTGTTTTCCTCAATTACATGGCCTTACTCTGGGTCACCGTAACCGATACACGATAACTGATCAGAGACTCGGCCCCAGGCAACACGTCTCTGGGCACACAACCTCATCAGAATCATCACGAGGCACTACACAATTTTCGTCCTCGCAATTTTGCAACACTTCATCGCTCGACTTCTGTCGGCCTTGTGGCAAATAACATGATGGGCCCTCAGTGCCTTGTCTTCCAAAATTCGCACAACGGGAACATTTTGACTTATACATTAAATTCCTATGCAAAAGGTAAACGTTCACTGAACTAAAATGATACACACGAATACTGCTAAATATTCACAGACAACTAAACATGCGTCCGCTGGTCGGACTGGTTGAGAGGCACTGAAATTAACACCCACGACCAACCCTTTTCTCAGCACCCCCGATCCAACATGGTTCTCGTTAAGCGCATGCAAACCAATGTGAGTCACGATTCATTAGAAACACCTCCTTCGCACATTCGTGCTCCTCGGGAGCCTTTTCATTCGTCTCTCATCTCAAGCCACATGGACCCCTTTTGCCAACGTCTCTCTTACTCTCATCATCCTGTGCCCTACGACTTTCGTAATCGATCCCGCCTCTGACCAGCCAAACGAATTTAGCACGCAACATATTGCTATTTTCCGGCTCAACTGAATTTGGAACAAAAATAGAAAGCGCAAGGGAGATAACTTTAAGTCACGGGCTCGGACTTGCCTGACCAGTGCTTCATGAATGGACAGCTATATGTGTGGTTGTTAAGGCCGACGAACGTTATTCGACGTTGATTATAGTCAACAACAATACTGTATACGGCCAGGTTTTGACATGACTTTGTAATAGAACAGATCGGTGACCAGCAAGTTCCAGTGGTTTTAATTAGCACCTTGTGTTCAGTTAGAGAAACAGTTCAACTAGTCTTCTCTCAGTATATTAAATGCTATTACATACATAATCCGAGAATTTGTATTTTTCAATTTCATTGTCTCATGATTTTTTTTTTTTTTTTTTCACTTTTATGGCGAGACGCGCAGGGTTAAATAAACTGATCCTCTTTCTTTTATGACTTTCTAAAATACACATTTGTAGTTTCAGTCATTGCAGAAATGCGCCATGATAACACCTCTGAATACACGTTTTGGAAGCAACCTTTTCAACTGGGCTTTATGAACTGGACTAGATCTGAATTCAAAGGATTCTTCTTTCCTAGACTGAGTTTCTTTTTGTTATTATCTAACTCCCCCGTGTGGGTTCCGGGGCCCCATTGTGGGGAAAACAAGAATAGACCCACTGCCTCCCCAAAAGCATGTCGTAAGAGTCGATTAAATGGGGAGCTTCCTTTGAAGTCAGAGTGCATCTGCCGGAGAGGCAAGGAACCAAAAGTCTGTATTCAAGAGAATGAGATCTGTAAAACTGATGCACACGCAACACTCAGGTTCTGGAGCAGGACTGCAGTTCAGTAATGGTCGAGAAACCAGAACTTTCCGCCAGAGTATACAGCTGGTGTACGCAAAGAAGAAGAAGATTATCTAACTGATGATCAACAATAAGCTAAATATGTAGTATTTAGTCAAACACTAACATAAATTTGCACTAACGTGGGAAATAACATTGTTTATAATAAATGGCGATTGAGTTCGAATGTATGCTAGGCCGAGCCGTGTAATACACGCAAGTTTATTTGTGAAGAATCAACATTATAAACAGGTTAGGGTCGAGCACAAACATACTAATGAAGTGAGAAGTATATATTAGATTACCTATAGTCCTGTTTTGGTCACTTGAAACGTCATGGAAATCTAGAGAGAACAATAATGGAGGGGTATATGCCTGGTAAGAGAGGAAGAAGAAGGCCAAGGAGAAGATGGGTGCAGGATGTGGCAGATGATCTCCAGATGGGTGTATCAGACGCAGGACATCTTGCTCATGATAGGAAGGTTTTCCGGAGGGTTGTTATGGCAGCGAGGTTCCGCGAGGGACATGCTACTGAATGAATGAATAGTCCTGTAGTGATGCAAGTATCTTATATGGTCTAACAAGAGTTTGACTACATGTGAAGGACGTTTCTGCCAAAAATATACACAGAGCTACAGTAGGGCATACAGTACCTCCGCTGACATGGACGGAGCATAAGAAGCCCACAGACCGGCCAGTCAGGTCAATTGTATCAATTAGTTGCGTGAGGTCACAGTGCACGTCCAGTGTTCTATTGTCTACAAGTTGCTTCTTCATGAAATAACAGATGACTGCGGTTGTGCCCAGGGTAAAGTTCACTGACAGATCTCTGAGAGTAGCTGCCCCTGAAGGAACATTGAATGTTGATTGTTACCATGTAGTGCAGCTGACTTTAACAGGCTAGCTTGTCCATTGCCACCGTGTTTTCATTTCAATATAATGAATTAATCAAGTAACAGAAAGTATTGTGAACGGCACTCATAGAAAGAAGTAGAAAGATAGAAGAACACACTAGACAACATAAAAATCGGAAGCTATAGTTACCGTGCCGGGAATTGAATCTGTCACCTCCAGACGGCGTCTGCGCCTCGCCATGAATACAAGTGCACTAAGATACATGGTCAACTCATTTCAATATAGTATCTAAGTCGCTGCCTGGCGGAGCCACACATTTTTCAAAAATGACCTCGACTCTAAGGTCGACTCAGCCTTGAGTGGGTACCGGGTACAGTCCTGGGAAGTAGAGGCGGCCGGCGTGATGCTGACCACGTCACCCACCTTGTGCAGATTAGTCTATAAAAATATAGGTGTAGCCCTATATGTCCTATACGCCTAAAGGCGTGGAAAAGGGTCCTTTACTTTTTTTTATAGTATCTAAAAATATGATCTAAAACATGATCTTGGTTATAAAATAAACACACAATAAACCTGCTACCAGGAAGCCTTTTAATAAGTCAATGCTGCCTGCACATAATATTTTCTTTAGTCGCAGGCCTCTCTATAAATCCTCTGTGTATGTTCCAGTGGACATCATATACATTGAACAACTCATGAAAAACATATCAGTTCTAACAAATCTAAAGGTTGTACACACAAAGTAAATGAATAATACCAGTGACAAGAGCATACAAATAGTCTCCAACTAGATTTGATGTAATGGAGACACAGCTATGGGATCACAAGTCATTGATTTGTGGGGGAGAGTAAAGGTCCAATTTGCAAGTCATAAATACATAGGGACACAGCAACCACCGGCTGGGCATAATAAGATATAATAAAACGACAGTAGAAAGATGTGCCCCACAATGCAACACAAACGAACTAAATTAGTTGAACTGAGGACAACAGTACCTGAGAAAACAAACATCAGACCCTCAGGAGGAATGCCCTTATTGGGAAACACAGACGGATGACAGAAGATAGAGAACGCTCCTACAGACCGAAGGTAAACATAGAACCTAATTTCATATTGATAGGATTACATTTAAATTACAACAAACATACAATGATTACATGTTTTTGGTGGGAGGTGGAAAAGGGGGGGGGGGGGGGGGGGTGGCGGTGCAAACATAGACGCGCACCCATACACATATATGCTATGAAAAAAACATCCAAACACACGTACTTACATGAGCCGTGCATACATACGTACGCACGTATATACATACGTGCATACATTTATACATTCAAAATGCATAATGCATACACACACACACACACATACACGTGCAACATGCATACACTTATATGTACACACATATATATGGCGGCCGCACTGGTTTAGCAGCTAGACGCCTGCGGATGGGAATGTGCTGCGTTCAGGACCTGATGAAGCAGGATATTATTATCAATTTTAACCTTGGCTCCCAGGTCGACCGAGCTTGAGATGGGTTCAAGGTACAGCCCTGAGAAATGAAGGATACCCGTGTGATGATGACCACATGAGCGACCGAGTAACGATCGGTCCATAAAATGTAGATCTATTCATTGTTTGCCCAGTATGCCCGAAGACGTGGAAAAGGGTTCATTACACTTGAATGTTTATTGTTGAATTAAGAATCGACATCACAGCACTCGGGACACTCCCATAAGCGCTCCGTCCCCATCTTCAGCAGCAAGCGCAGAGTTAAAATTCCGATGGTACCAGTTACAGTCTGATTGTATATCCGTCTCGCCCCCCCCCCTCTCCGTCGGCCAGATCATCTTATAACTCCTCGCAGTGCCATTCTCCCCAACCCCTAATGATCTACCTGTTCCTCGGTACTGTTCACTCGCTCCCAAAGGGCCCTCACAACATCCAGTTTGTCATATATCAGTTCACCTCCAAGTGGTGCCGAACCGGCCAGTCTATCCGCCTGCTCATTTCCCAACACACTGGCGGGACCTGGAAAAAATATCCAAAGGATGCTAACTACCCGAGACCTCTGAAATTATGCTTGCTGTCATTACATACATATATTTATACCTATATACTTACCTGGTGCTGCCACTTTGACTCTGAGCCAAGTAAAAGCCAGTGTTTCGTTCAACGATATCTGCGTAGAGTAAATATTGCCGGCAAGACATGATGCATCATTACCATCTACTATATCTCTCTGGCCCTGTGTGCGGTATGCTAGGTCAACTGTAAACAAATATTTCATTAGCAGAGTAATAATGTCTGGATGTAAATAGCATACTCGTTACTTATTAAACAGAGTGCTAAACCTATTGTATATAATAAACAAACAGACAATATATTGATCAGCACTCAAATAAAGAAGTAGACAGACATAAGGACATACTGGACATTTAAAAAAAAATTGACAGCTATTGTTAAAGTGGTGGGAATCGAACCTCTCATCTCCAAACAGCGTGTACGCTTCGTTTAAAAAACAAGTGTATTAATATGCAAAACCACTAGGCACCTTTAACAAACCTGTCTTTAACAGCTTGAGATCCATATATACATGCATGCATACATAAAAACATGCCCACATACATACAAAAATATATGCAAACATATATACACATTCATACCTACCTACCTACCTACCTACCTACCTACCTACCTACATACATACATACATACAGACAGACAGACAGACAGACAGACAGACAGACAGACAGACAGACAGACAGACAGACAGACAGACAGACAGACAGACAGACAGACAGACAGACAGACAGACAGACAGACAGACAGACAGACAGACAGACAGACAGACAGACAGACAGACAGACAGACAGACAGACAGACAGACAGACAGACAGACAGACAGACAGACAGACAGACAGACAGACAGACAGACAGACAGACAGACAGACAGACAGACAGGCAGGCAGGCATGCATACATACATACATACATACATACATACATACATACATACATACATACATACATACATACATACATACATACATACATACATACATACATACATACATACATACATACATACATACATACATACATACATACATACATACATACATACATACATACATACATACATACATACATACATGCATGCATACATACATACATACATACATACATACATACATACATACATACATACATACATACATACATACATACATACATACATACATACATACATACATACATACATACATGCGTTAGCGCAGTCGATAGGTGACTCGTTTTCAAATCAATCTGCAATTTGCTGCAGCACACGGTGTTTGAAACCGGACGGTTCCCGGAGTTCACCTAGCCTCTTGGCAATGGGTAGCAGAGTTAACACTTTAGTTGTTTGTTTGTTTTAGTATCCAGAAGCCATGAGTTGTTAACCCTTAGGCTCGGTATTATGGATATCGCAACCTTTCGGCCTTGATTCCATTGTAAATTTCGTAAATCTGAGAGAGGTGTGGCTTTTCTGCCTACCCCCGGGAGTGAACCCGGACCACAAGGAGTTCGTCACCTGGTCTCCGCGCAATCCGGTTTAGCAAACTGCGCTAGAGAGCCGGGCAACACTTTAGCCAAATGGAAGATTTTCGCTGTACCTACTTAGTTTTGTGCGGACGACCTCTCAGGCGGACAGATTCCTATCAGCTCTCTGGTCGCAGAGTACTTATGGTTTATAACAGTGTGCATTGACGCTGGTTCACATCTCCTGACTCCACCGTTCAAATAGGTCGAATACCCAACACAACAATAATTATATCTGCGTGGATTTTTATCGTCATATGGGGCGTCGAAGGTCGACCTAGCCTAAAATGGGTACCAGGATGTATGTCCCGGAGAAGTAAGGACGGCCGGCGTAATGCTGACCACATTAACTACCTAGTGTCGATGGGTCTGTAAAAATATGTATGCTCTTCCTTTGTGCCCGAGGTGTCCGAAGGCGTGAAAATGAATCTTTATACTTTACTTACAACAATTGGCTATCCTCCGACTAACGGTCGTCAAAGATGGCGGCCGCAAAATATCCTTTCGAGCCAGAGTCGCGTGACTTAATTTGCGGTTCTCCTGCGGTTTTCCGGCGACTATCGCCACCGCCTGATGTTCCCCACGCCGCTCACGCGGCGTGAAATGGGGCTAAACTAGATGGCTAGGACCCACGAGCAGCAGCCGCGATGTGCTCGTGACCGCTAGTGCACAATTGAATCGCGACTCTGGCTCGAAAGGATATTTTTGCGGCCGCCATCTTTATCGACCGTTAGTCGGAGGATAGCCCAACAATTATATACATATTGGAACGTAAGGCTTGCCTAGAATACAAGAACAATTTAAGAGAGCTGTTGTATGCTGTTAGTGTGTTAGTGTATAGCCGGGTAAAACAAAGGATTTTGCTGGAGAAGTGTTTAAAGAGCTCAGTAGCGTAAGTACTTTGACACTGGTGCACTAACCAGCCCTGCATAGGCAGCAATGTCATGGTTCCTTTAGAAATAAAAAAGTATTTCCAGCATTCTAACACCAGTCCTAAATATGTTTTCAGAGATAGGAAACAACACTTTCATAAAAGCATATGTTAGAGTATGTATAGAGACAAGGTAGTATAAAGCAACCTACCGTACTGACATGAAGGACCGAACCATCCCACACTACAGGGGACATTTGTTCTACACTTGCCATGCGAGTCACAAGAAGTGAGGGCACAGCGACATTTATAGTTACACCGTAGCCCAAACCAGTCAAGCGCACACGCTAGAAAGAACGAAAATAGCAGTGGCATTTTCACAATCAAGACATACTAGTCATACTAGTCATTGATATCATTATTTAGAGATCCGTAATAAGTTATTACCTGCCAAATCCTCTACATTATATTCTTTACAGTTTTACCTGTTGTGCTGATCTTTTCGTCACTGACTTCCATAAA